GGTTATTTTTGGGCTTTAGGGTGTTGCTGCAGTTGAACCCCAAGCACATATAGCATAGGTGGGGTATGGATATATAAGTGAATGGTATAGTGTGAAAAGGGGCAGTTTGCGGCCACTAGTATCGTATCTTGGAGATTATCCCAACCGTTTTGGATATTTTTTTGGGTTATGTTTTTGGATATGGGTGCTGAAGTTCAGGTTGTTGTCGAGGTATAGGCCTAGGAATTTGCCCTCATTATGCCTGGCAATTAGAGTGTTGTCGATCTTAATGTTTAATTTTGCGCATCTCCTGCTCTGCTACCAAACATAATTTTATTTAGGTTTTGTCAGTGTAAGCACAAGTTATTGGCTGTCATCCAAGTCGATATTTTGATCAGCCCCTCATTAACAATGGTGTTGAGGTGGCAAGATTAGGGTGAGAGATGACATAAGTCGTGTCGTCAGCAAAGAGAATGGGGTTCAGGTGTTGAGATACGTTTGGAAGATCATGATGTATATGAGGAAGAGCAGGGCCCAAAGGGACACTTCCCTGTGGAACCCAGTATCAAGTGGCTGTGTTGTTGATGCTGTGTCTTTAATGGGACATACTGATACCTATTAGTAAGGTAAATTTGAAATATGCAAGCGCATGGCCTCTTATACCATAATGGCAAGTTTGGGGAGTAGATGCCATGGTCTACTGTGTCAAAAGCTTTTCTTAGGTCAAAAAAAATTTCCCTAGTGGATTTTCCCTTTAAATTTTTCAATGTTGTGTAAAGCAGATCTAGCATTTTTATGATTGCATCGTTAGTGCTTTTATTTTTCCTGAATCCAAAATTGGCAGGGGTTGAGTATGTTTTGTGCCGTTATAAATGAATATAGTCTCCTGTGCAGATTTTCTCAAAGATTTTGGATAGCAATGGTAAGTTTTGTATTGGCCTATATTTGTTTAAATCTGTAGGGTCACCACCTTTATGTATTGGTGTAACACTTGCCATCTTGAGTAGTTTCGGGAAGGTGCTAGTTTTCTAGTGACTTGTTAAAAAGTAATGAGATAGCATGCGAGAGGACATGGGCGGCTCTCTTGTACAATAATGGTGGGACATGAGACAGATTCCCTGAGTTATTTTTAAGTGACTTTATAATCACGGTGACTTCCATGGGCTCAGTTGGAGCAAGATAGAAGGAATTTGGGAAATTCCCATCTAGGTAGTCCCCAGCATGGGCATTGGTATGTGGGATTTTATTGGCGAGATTAGAACCTATGGTTGAGAAGAAAATCGTTTATCTTGTTAGCTGTGTCAGTGGGATGCAGTGGTGTTTCATTAGGTTTAGTTAGGGCAATATTCTTGGGTTTTTTCAGCTTTTGGGTCCCTAGAATCTGAGAGTGTTTTCCAGGTCTTTTTTATATCTCCTCTTGTGTCAGTGAATCTACTGGAGTAGGATAGTTGTTTGGCTTTCTTTATTACTTTGGTGAGGGCTGATGAATAGTGTTTAAGAATATCTTTGTGTATTAAGCCCTGTCTATATTGCTTTTCATATTGGTGTTTCTTATCAATGGATTTCAGAATGGTGCTGGTTAGCCATGGGCAACCAAGCCGTTTGTTTGTGATCTGTTTCGTTTTTATAGGACAATGTTTGTTGTATAGTCTAAGTAATTTGTTAAGAAAAATGTCGTCCAGTCTCAAAACCAAGGCCTTGGAGAATTTTGTAGGCTAGTCAACAGTCTCTAGGTCAGCTGTGAACTTCCTTATTGAGGCCTCATCATGGAGTCTAAACGAAACTTTGTTGAAATTCAAGTGGTGGTTACTATGTTTGTCAAGGGGAAGGTAGGGTAGTGGTCTGTAGTGCTATCTGTGATTATCCCTGATTTAAGGGGGGCTAGTATATTGGTCCATATTGGTCTATTATGGTTGCACTCGTCTCAGTGAGCCTGGTTGGTTTTTGTTATTGTTGGGATGAGAGTGTGTTGTTTTATATTGTTTTATGAAATCCCGGGTTTCAGGCTGATCATCTAGTAAGCCAAGGGTTTATGTTGAAGTCTCCAGCTAAGAGAAGGTGGGGCTTGTTCATTTGTCTGTTTTTATTAGTGCCTTTGTTTCTCACTTAAATTTGGGATGTTTGTGTGGGGGGATCCGGTAAATGGCACCGATTGTTATAGGCGTCTTAAGGTTTTTTACAGTAAAATTAGCAAAAAAGTATTCTCCATATTCATCACTAAAGCAAGTGGTGCTAATACAAGATAATTGGTTAGAGTAATAGATTGCAATACCACCCCCAACTTGGTATGGTCTGCAGTTGTGGATTGCTGTGTATCCTGGTAGAGGGTAGATATCTATTATGTCCTGCTTAAGCCAGGTCTCAGTAAGAATAATGCAGGAGAAGGGTGTCTTTAGTGATTCAAGGAGTGCCAGGAGGTCATCATAGTGTTTGCTTAAGGACCTGATGTTGTAGTTAAGTACTGATAGACTTTTAGCATTGTTTAGGATAGTTCTGGCTTGTGTTAGGGATTGGATGAGTAGGATTGTCAGGCTAGTGGGAGGGGGGGGCATACCGGTGTTGAGGGCGCTCGTTTTGGATGTGGGAGGAGTGCCAGAGAGTACACAACGTGCATTGGCATATTTAATGGTAGATTTCGTGTATGTGTCGTGGGGTATGCGTGGGAATGGGGATTGGGTGGCGAGGAAACGGGTACTGGCAGCTACCTTTTATAGGACGGTTTGCAGGAACAGGGAAATATATGGATCGCAGTGGGAGGGAGCCTTCCCCGTAGGTTATCGTAGTTTAACTATTGGGATCTTACTCGCTTTATAGTGGGGGGGGGGGGGTTGTCATGGCTGGGGCAAGGATTGAGAATGCCATCTGGGGTTTCAATGGGCTCGCCGTCGGGAGTGTGTGGTGTGTGTGGTGTGTGTGTGTGTTGTGTGTGTGTGGTGGTGTGTGTGTGTGTGTGTGTGTGTGTGTATGGGGTCAGATATAAACGAGGGAAGGTTCAGTGTGTTAGTAGGTGTTAGGAGGTACGTGTGATGCTAGCTGGATTAAGTGTGTGATCCAGTTTGATAGTGGAGAATTTAGGTTTATATCTTTGCATGCGTGTCCCATGGGATGTATTACCCTCTGTGTATATAACGCCTTGCTATGCTTGCTCACTTACCATCACACCTCTGTCAGAGGGTTGAGGTATATATTATTGTATAGAGGTATTGTATGCATGTATGCAGTAAGAATGCTTGGGTGTGGTTTGTTGTGATTTTAGATACTGTTGCGATGTGACAGCTTAAATGCTCAGTACAGCTGGGAGACTGAGCGACAGGGAACTGTATGCTGCCGAGAGACAATGGTGGTTGCCTAAATGAGGGAGAAGAGGGGGGGGTGTAACAGAATGTTTTGTTATAGGAGACAGTATTGAACGTTGCCCTATTAAGGGCTTATCTCTGAATGGAGGTTAATGAGATAGGATTATATACACTAGGGAAATTACGGGTTATTTTCAAACTGTTCTTTACTGTGTACCTTGTGTGTGGTGAAGGAGGCATGAAATCAACTTATTGTTTAATGTCACTTTGTTTTATGTAAAAATTTATATATGTTTGGTTTTGGTACATTTAAAGTGTATATTAATTTAGGTCACAACCCTGGTACTGTTTTTGTTAAGTGCTATGTTCTTGATGCAAGTTTTTCATGTATGGTTTACAGTTACATATACAGAGTTTATACATGCAAGTTTTGTAGCATTTTTTGTCACGTATATTCAGGTGTGGGTAGTAAATTGTTTAGTTACAAGGATGGTGTATTTCTTATTATAGCTTCATGTTTAGTGATTTCAGTCAATCATGTATGATTACATGTATATTGTATACCTGTGCTCTAAATAAAACATACAAAATTAGGGGATGAATAGCTACAGATTATTATTATAATCAAGGGGGAAGCGCTAAACCCGGAGGATTATACAGCGCCTGGGGGGGGGGCTGTGGAAGGTATTCAGGCTTAATTCGGGGAACTGGAGCACAGATCCAATTCCCTAAATCAAGAGCCCCTCACCAACATCAAGGAACCTTCCTTGAGGGGTAATAGCTACAGAATGTTTAGATACATAAAATGCTAATATTACAATGTACAGTAAGAGGCCAGAGCATTAGTTTATATATATAAAAACTTTTGTATATACAGTTTCATACAAGATATGAATACAAATGTCAGTTTTTGGCTAGTGGCAATTTTATTATGTAGTTTCAGGGGTAGTTTGTCATCCGTTAGTTATAAGGATGTTTTCTTATAAATGTTTCATGTATTGTGATTACGTCAATGTGTGATATGCATGTATACTGTATATTTTAAATAAAAAATAAAAAAAAAATCTATTTATGTCCCTCCATGCCCGGCTAAGTGGGGTGTGAGCATTAAGACCGTTGAGTCTTTTGATAATAGTTGAATTTTTTTTTTTTTATAATTCATGCTGGTTATTTTACCTTGGTGTGATAGTATTTGTGTTAAGTGTTTACGTTCATTGCTTTTATTGTTTGGTAATTATGTTATTGTGTTTTGGTGTACGTGTTGTATATATTTCTGTCTGTAAATTTCACCACCACTGCTACTATACTTCTCACTACTGATAAATCAGTTACCATCATCATAATTCATTTATGGAACACAGTATTTTATATACGAGGCAAAAGTAAAAATACTACTAAAATATTAAAAGACTAAAAGAAATAAATTGGTGAGCAAACTAATATGTATCATTGCCTCCACCTAACTATTGCATTCACTTAAGTGATTATTGCACCACTTACAAGTACGTATTGCACTGCCCAACAATCTAATCATTGCCCCTTCCCCTAACTGTAGATACTCTGGTGTTTGTAAGTTTATTCAGGTATACACAAATAGTTACATAGATTATCATACATAGCAGCATATGTGTAAAGTACCTAACCCAAGAAAATCCAAGGAAAAGTCAGTGACTTATTTCCATTGCGTGTTCTCCGCTAGTGTCCATCTGTTTCTATCCACAACAGCGAGTCCCTGACACACGGCTCGAAGAAGGAGCAGCAGAAGACTCTGCTTGAGGAGGACCTGGCGAAGAAAAACTTAACCCTGGTACCTGGGTCTCCGTCTTACAAACACCAGCACGGCTTTAAGAAGACCGACCCCTTGGCCACCAAGATGGCCAAGCTAGGCTACCTCATGGATCACGCCACCACCAAACTCAAGGACAGGTATACAAATACAGAAAAGCTGCTTCATAAGTACAACTCTGATATTTATGATGATTCATGGGGTATCTATGCTAGACCCAGTTAGATTACAAATAACAACTGCAAAATTTTTCGTTTTATTATATTTCTGATTACCTCTGCAGAACCGCACCACATTCTCCTTCTAATTTATCTTTCAGTCTACCATTTAACAATATCAGAGAAAATAATGATCTTTGCCTTAAACAATTATCACATGTTCACATTAATTTGTTGCCTCTTGGTCCCAGACTACACTCTTGCCCCTAAGATTTTTTTTTTTTTGGGGGGGGAGGCACTGCACCGGATTTTTTTTAAATATTATATTTGTTTCTAGTATATTACTACAATGTATGTTTTTATTTATATTTAAATATGTTAGTGCTTCACCTCCACGTTTCATCAAATTCCTTCTGATGTTGACAGGATGAACCTGACGCGGGAGGCAGCGTCGCTGGACTCCCGGTGGGTGGGAGACATGTCCTCTACGCCCTACTGCGACAAAGATCTTCAGCGGCCACTACCCGGCCCCTGCAACGCCTCTGGCAAGTACAGGAGTGTCGATGGAACCTGCAATAACCTTAAAAATCCTACCTGGGGCGCCTCCTTCACCCCCTTCAGGCGAGCCCTTCCCCCGGACTATGGAGACGGTAGGTGAAGTACATCTTCCACTATCTGGATAGGCATAATTTAACTGTTTGAATCCACAGTCATTGATAGAAATACAAAAATAAAACATCAAACCTTGGTAAAAATGATTCAAGACTGATCTAAAGATCGTTTTGTTTGTTGTGAACCGAGACAGAAATGTAAACTGATCTCACTCTGGTTAGACATATTTAAAGGTGGCCAGACATACACACCAAGAAAGAACACACTGTACCTGTACTAACTTTCCCCTGGTAATTTGATCTCTCAGCATCTAACCACAATCCTTGGCTGTCTGCCAGAGGATAAAAAACTTTTAAAACAGGAACGCTAGGGACGCCCTGGCTGTATAGCCCTTGTGGCTTAGCGCTTCTTTTTGATTATAATAATAATAATAGGGACGCCCTGACACTTCAAGATGGATGCCTTGATGCTGGTAAATGGTTCGTGATTCAGTTAATTGGAGCTACCCTCTCCTTCCATAGGTCAAACCTGAGTCCTCACATTCTAGGATCTTCATCATAAAAAGAATAAGAATAGTTCGCATCTCGCCACCAACGGCTCAACAACAATTAACCATCTCAGACCACTAATTACCCAACAAAAGGCTGCAGTTAGAATGATAACAAATTCTCACTACAGGCAACACACTCCACCAATATTCAAAACACTCAACCTACTCACCATACAAAACATCCATACTTATTATTGCACCTATTACATACATAGAACACTTAACTCTGATATTAACCCTCCCGTCAAACATCTCCTTGCCAACCTCAACAGAACACATGACCATAACACAAGGCACAGATCACTCTTTGATGTTCCTCGTGTCCATCTCACGCTATGCAAAAACTCAATGCACATAAAAGGCCCTAAAATCTGGAATTCATTACCTGTAAATATAAAAGAAACACTACCTGTTTATAAATTCAAGTCTCTTCTCAAAGATCACTTACTCACTCAAAACCAAATAAATACTGAATAACTGAACCTTATAAATTGTATATCCTATATGTTACTCACAATTATATCACACAAATGTTAAACCTAGGACCCAATCTAACTTTATTATTTTTTTAAATACACTACCTAACAGAATACTCCATTCGACTGAATGTACAACAATGCATGCAACCATATGACCTGTCTTTGTAATACTCATTTGTGGTTTATAGTTATCTGTTTACAATAATGTTTTATCACTGATTTCATCATTGCTTAGTTAATCTTAAGTTAATTTTAAGCCAGCCCGTAATGCTATGCATATAAGTGGCTTTGGCATGCTGCTCTTACCTGTATTTTTTTGTACCTCTGTTTGTATGCTTAAATTACTAAAATAAAATAAAATAAAATAAAATAAACGGCAGTCTCTGGGCATCAGAGGACCATGATTCCTCTTTACCACAGACAGCCAGACAAACTCTTGAGGGCAATGAACTTTACTCAGGTTACGTGAACGCTGATACACACGCACATGCACACATGCACGCGCGCACACATGCATCAGAGTTCAGAGATGGCAAATGCTATCCATATATCGATTACTCTTCTCTGACTGGACTAAGAAATGGGTCGACTGCATCTTCTTAGACCAAGATTGACTCTTTATACCAGGAATTAGTCACTCCCTCCATTTCAGCCCAAACGTGATTATTTCATACTCCGAAGTCGCTGTGTCTACCTGGAGGACATTCCGGGGATCAACGCCCCCGCGGCCCGGTCCATGACCAGGCCTCCCGGTGGATCAGGGCCTGATCAACGAGGTTGTTACTGCTGGCCGCATGCAGTCCAACGTACGAACCATAGCCCGGCTGATCCGGCATCGACTTAAGGTATTTGTCCAGCTCCCCCTTGAAGACAATGAGGGGTCTAATGGTAATGCCCCTTATGGCTGGTGGGAGGCTGTTGAACAGTCTTGGGCCCCGGACACTTGTGTTTTCTCTTAGTGTACCAGTGGCGCCCCTACTTCACTACGAGTATGTTTCATCGCCTGTCAAGTCTTTTGCTTTCGTAGGAAGTGATTTGTGTGTGCAGGTTAGGAACCAGTCCCTCCAGAATCTTCCAGGTGTAGATTGTGATATCTCTCGCCTGCACTCCAGTGAGTACAAGTCAAGTGCTTCCAGGCGTTCCCAGTAGTTAAGATGTTTGATGGAACTTATACGTGCAGTAAAGGTTCTCTGTACACTCTCGAGATCTGCAATTTCACTTGCTTTGAATGGGGATGTTAATGTACAGCAATATTCCAGCCTAGAGAGAACAAGTGATTTACAACGGATCATCGGTCTCCAGGTAATCCAGGTAATCATTGGCATCTCTTGTCTCGAATGTTCTCATTATCCATCCTATCAGTTTCCTCACAGATGTGATAGTGGCATTGTTGTGGTCCTTGAAGGTGAGATCTTCGGACATTACCACACCCATGAATATAATAACATCTAACCATTATTAATTTCATATGTCCAAATATATTTTTATTGCTATTGTTTTAGTTATTATTGGCATAATGGTAGGCGTGTGGTCACTACGCTTGGCGTCAGACGGTGAGGAGTTACCCAGCGCCCGGCTGGTCAGCAGTAAAGTCCACCTCAACACGCTAGCGAACTCTCGCTCATACACCATCCTAACCATGAGCTGGGGACAGTTTGTCGACCATGATATCACTCTCACTGCTCTCTCCAAAGGTATAAACATAAGTGAATAACATGTATGTCCTGTATAATGTAAGGGCTTAAATAAGTGGCTTGTTTCCGCTCGTGTTTACTGAGGCAGGATTGAAGATGGCTTGTCAAAAAAGAATTATTTTTTTTATTTTAGCATGTTCCCATTCCACGGGGTAACTTGTTAGTTTAATTTGAGAAATCAAACAGTTGAACTTTCCTCCTGTTCATAGAGAATATTTTTATTGCATCAACCTAAGGCTCCCTCTTTTTTTCTTTCATCCGGTATAGCTATATGACCCTTGTGGATTTAGCGCTTAGTTATAATAATTTTTTTTATTATCACACTGGCCGATTCCCACCAAGGCAGGGTGGCCCAAAAAAGAAAAACTTTCACCATCATTCACTCAATCACTGTCTTGCCAGAAGGGTGCTTTACACTACAGTTTTTAAACTGCAACATTAACACCCCTCCTTCAGAGTGCAGGCACTGTACTTCCCATCTCCAGGACTCAAGTCCGGCCTGCCGGTTTCCCTGAACCCCTTCATAAATGTTACTTTGCTCACACTCCAACAGCACGTCAAGTATTAAAAACCATTTGTCTCCATTCACTCCTATCAAACACGCTCACGCATGCCTGCTGGAAGTCCAAGCCCCTCGAACACAAAACCTCCTTTACCCCCTACCTCCAACCTTTCCTAGGCCGACCCCTACCCCGCCTTCCTTCCACTACAGACTGATACACTCTTGAAGTCACTCTGTTTCGCTCCATTCTCTCTACATATCCGAACCACCTCAACAACCCTTCCTCAGCCCTCTGGACAACAGTTTTGGTAATCCTGCACCTCCTCCTAACTTCCAAACTACGAATTCTCTGCATTATACTCACGCCACACATTGCCCTCAGACATGACACCTCCACTGCCTCCAGCCTTCTCCTCGCTGCAACATGCATCACCCATGCTTCACACCCATATAAAGAGCATTGGTAAAACTATACTCTCATACATTCCCCTCTTTGCCTCCAAGGACAAAGTTCTTTGTCTCTACAGACTCCTAAGTGCACCACTCACCCTTTTCCCCTCATCAATTCTATGATTCACCTCATCTTTCATAGACCCATCCGCTGGCACGTCCACTCCCAAATATCTGAATACATTCACCTCCTCCATACTCTCTCCTTCCAATCTGATATCCAATCTTTCATCACCTAATCTCTTTGTTATCCTCATAACCTTACTCTTTCCTGTATTCACTTTTAATTTTCTTCTTTTGCACACCCTACCAAATTCATCCACCAATCTCTGCAACTTCTCTTCAGAATCTCCCAAGAGCACAGTGTCATCAGCAAAGGGCAACTGTGACAACTCCCACTTTATGTGTGATTCTTTATCTTTTAACTCCACGCCTCTTGCCAAGACCCTCGCATTTACTTCTCTTACAACCCCATCTATAAATATATTAAACAACCATGGTGACATCACACATCCTTGTCTAAGGCCTACTTTTACTGGGAAATAATTTCCCTCTTCCCTACATACTCTAACTTGAGCCTCACTATCCTCGTAAAAACTCTTCACTGCTTTCAGTAACCTACCTCCTACACCATACACTTGCAACATCTGCCACATTGCCCCCCTATCCACCCTGTCATATGCCTTTTCCAAATCCATAAATGCCACAAAGACCTCTTTAGCCTTATCTAAATACTGTTCACTTATATGTTTCACTGTAAACACCTGGTCCACACACCCCCTACCTTTCCTAAAGCCTCCTTGTTCATCTGCTATCCTATTCTCCGTCTTACTCTTAATTCTTTCAATAATAACTCTACCATACACTTTACCAGGTATACTCAACGGACTTATCCCCCTATAATTTTTGCACTCTCTTTTGTCCCCTTTGCCTTTATACAAAGGAACTATGCATGCTCTCTGCCAATCCCTAGGTACCTTACCATCTTCCATACATTTATTAAATAATTGCACCAACCACTCCAAAACTATATCCCCGCCTGCTTTTAACATGTCTATCTTTATCCCATCAATCCCGGCTGCCTTACCCCTTTTCATTTTACCTACTGCCTCACGAACTTCCCCCACACTCACAACTGGCTCTTCCTCACTCCTACAAGATGTTATTCCTCCTTGCCCTATACACGAAATCACAGCTTCCCTATCTTCATCAACATTTAACAATTCCTCAAAATATTCCCTCCATCTTCCCAATACCTCTAACTCTCCATTTAATAACTCTCCTCTCCTATTTTTAACTGACAAATCCATTTGTTCTCTAGGCTTCCTTAACTTGTTAATCTCACTCCAAAACTTTTTCTTATTTTCAACAAAATTTGTTGATAACATCTCACCCATTCTCTCATTTGCTCTCTTTTTACATTGCTTCACCACTCTCTTAACCTCTCTCTTTTTCTCCATATACTCTTCCCTCCTTGCATCACTTCTACTTTGTAAAAACTTCTAATATGCTAACTTTTTCTCCCTTACTACTCTCTTTACATCATTATTCCACCAATCGCTCCTCTTCCCTCCCACACCCACTTTCCTGTAACCACAAACTTCTGCTGAACACTCTAACACTACATTTTTAAACCTACCCCATACCTCTTCGACCCCATTGCCTATGCTCTCATTAGCCCATCTATCCTCCAATAGCTGTTTATATCTTATTCTAACTGCCTCCTCTTTTAGTTTATAAACCTTCACCTCTCTCTTCCCTGATGCTTCTATTCTCCTTGTATCCCATCTACCTTTGCAACTGGCACCCCAAACTTACCTACCACACCCTCTCTAAAAGTTTCTCCTACTTTAGCATTCAGATCCCCTACCACAATTACTCTCTCACTTGGTTCAAAGGCTCCTATACATTCACTTAACATCTCCCAAAATCTCTCTTTCTCCTCTACATTCCTCTCTTCTCCAGGTGCATACACGCTTATTATGACCCACTTTTCGCATCCAACCTTTACTTTAATCCACATAATTCTTGAATTTACACATTCATATTCTCTTTTCTCCTTCCATAACTGATCCTTCAACATTACTGCTACCCCTTCCTTTGCTCTAACTCTCTCAGATACTCCAGATTTAATCCCATTTATTTCCCCCTACCGAAACTCCCCCTACCCCCTTCAGCTTTGTTTCGCTTAGGGCCAGGACATCCAACTTCTTTTCATTCATAACATCAGCAATCATCTGTTTCTTGTCATCCGCACTACATCCACGCACATTCAAGCATCCCAGTTTTATAAAGTTTTTCTTCTTCTCTTTTTTAGTAAATGTCTCCAGGAGAAGGGGTTACTAGCCCATTGCTCCCGGCATTTTAGTCGCCTCATACGACATGCATGGCTTACGGAGGAAAGATTCTTTTCCACTTCCCCATGGACAATAGAAGAAATAAAGAAGAACAAGAGCTATTTAGAAAAAGGAGAAAAACCTAGATGTATGTATATATATATGCATGTGCGTGTCTGTGAAGTGTGACCAAAGTGTAAGTAGGAGTAGCAAGATATCCCTGTTATCTAGCGTGTTTATGAGACAGAAAAAGAAACCAGCAATCCTACCATCATGCAAAACAGTTACAGGTTTCTGTTTCAGTCATCTGGCAGGACGGTAGTACTTCCCTGGGTGGTTGCTGTCTACCAACCTACTACCTATAAATTATAATTATAATCTAGTATTTATTTCTGATCATACTTAACATGAACCATTGTCCGAAGCACATATGTAGTTAAGTGTTCTGTTTATTAAAAGATTATTTCTCTCGTGTCAGCTTCAGGAGGTCAGAGCATCCCGTGCTGCTCTGACGAAGTGCTGAAGCTACCATCACTCTACCACCCGGAGTGTGCTCCAATCCCTATCCCAGCCGAGGACTCCTTTTACGCTGCCTTCAACCAGAGTTGTATGGAGTTCACTAGGTCGGCACCAGCACCCAGATGTCACTTTGGTAGGTACTCCACATAGTTTCAACTTGTACAAACTACGTTCTGGTAATGTGATAGTATACATATACGGTCTTTGGGTTGATGACAGTAGAACTGGACATGAAACAAATCCAGATGTTTCGTCTACTATACATATTTACAATTTTCATATTACATGCCCACTTACCTTCAGGAATTCTAATCTGGCGTATATCCAGGTTTAAATAATGATCATATTTGCATGTATCTACAGGACCTCGTGAGCAACTCAACCAGCAAACAGCCTTCCTAGACGGCTCCGTTATCTACGGTGCCACTGAACAACACCTGAGCTCCCTCCGCACCTTCCAGGACGGTCTCCTCCGCTCACAGGTTCTCTCTCTCACTCTCTGGAACCCACGCAACACTTCCTCCTTTACTCAAGCTTACGTTGTGTGACCGATAATAAATTGCTTTTGCTGCTTTAATTTTATTAAAATAGACTTGCCGACTTCCTTTCCCAGAACAGTGGATTTATTCGCTTGAAACTCAGAAAAAATATTTTTGGTACATAGAATTGTTTGTATTACTAATATAACCGGTGAGTATTTGCAGTGCATAATTATTATTATTTATTATGTTTAGGGAGAAATGCTTAACCCGCAGAGGTCATACAGCGCCTGGGGAATGGGGGAGACTAGGGACTGATCCAGGGAAGAGGAGCAATAGTCCAGTTCTTTAGCTCAATGGGTCCCTCACTAGCATCAAAGGTCCCTTCACTAGCATCAAGGGTCCCTTCACTAGCATCAAGGGTCCCTTCACTAGCATCAAGGGTCCCTTCACTAGCATCAAGGAACATCCCTTGAGAAGTGTACAAGATAAAGCAAATATGACCTCAACAAATAAAGTGCCACTATAACATTGTGGCAAGGATTTTGTAGGTTTTTTCCCGGAAAAGTGATTAGTAAGTGTTAGTGTGCTCTGTCCCCTGCAGGAAGGTTCCTTGACGCTGGTGAGGGGCTCTAGATCTAGGGAATTGGATCTGTGCTCTAGTTCCCTGAATTAAGCCTGAATACAGTAATAATGCAGTAATAACACCAGGAGGCAGCTCTGATGAAAACTCACACTCACACGAGCTTTTAAATCTCTGCACAAAATTCAATTTAAACCAGCAAATAATAGAGCCTACTAGACTGGAGAATACACTAGACCTCATCTTCACTAACAATGATGATCTGATAAGAAATGTCACCATATCACCATATCAGATCACAACATAATTGAGGTTCAGTCATGTATGCGTGGAGCCCCAGACCGACATAATGAGATTAGTCACGAGGGAGCATTCACCAAATTCAACTTCAATAACAAAAACATAAAGTGGGACCAAGTAAACCAAGTCCTAACCGATATAAGCTGGGAAGATATACTAAGCAACACTGACCCCAACTTATGCCTAGAACAGATTAACTCGGTGGCACTCGATGTATGCACAAGGCTTATTCCTCTAAGAAAAAGGAGGAGTAGATGTAAAACAGAAAGAGACAGGCTCTCCCTTTACAGGCGACGGAAAAGAATAACAGAGCGGCTAAAAGAGGTCAATATATCTGAAATGCGTAGGGAGACACTGGTCAGAGAAATAGCAAGCATCGAACTTAAGCTAAAAGAATCCTTTAGGAGTCAGGAATCGCGGGAAGAACTAAAAGCCATAAATGAAATCGAAAGAAACCCAAAGTATTTCTTCTCCTATGCCAAATCAAAATCGAGAACAACGTCCAGTATTGGGCCCCTACTTAAACAAGATGGGTCCTACACAGATGACAGCAAGGAAATGAGTGAGCTACTCAAGTCCCAATATGACTCAGTTTTTAGCAAGCCGCTAACCAGACTGAGAGTCGAAGATCAAAATGAATTTTTTATGAGCCACAAAATTTGATTAACACAAGCCTATCCGATGTTATCCTGACGCCAAATGACTTCGAACAGGCGATAAATGACATGCTCATGCACTCTGCCCTAGGGCCAGACTCGTGGAACTCTGTGTTCATCAAGAACTGCAAGAAGCCCCTATCACGAGCCTTTTCCATCCTATGGAGAGGGAGCATGGACACGGGGGTCGTCCCACAGTTACTAAAAACAACAGACATAGCCCCACTCCACAAAGGTGGCAGTAAAGCAACAGCAAAGAACTACAGACCAATAGCACTAACATCCCATATAAAAATCTTTGAAAGGGTCCTAAGAAGCAAGATCACCACCCATCTAGAAACCCATCAGTTACACAACCCAGGGCAACGTGGGTTTAGAACAGGTCGCTCCTGTCTGTCTCAACTATTGGATCACTACGGCAAGATCCTAAACGCACTAGAAGACAAAAAGAATGCAGATGTAATATATACAGACTTTGCAAAAGCCTTCGACAAGTGTGACCATGGCGTAATAGCGCACAAAATGCGTGCTAAAGGAATAACAGGAAAAGTCGGTCGATGGATCTATAATTTCCTCACTAACAGAACACAGAGAGTAGTCGTCAACAGAGTAAAGTCCGAGGCAGCTACGGTGAAAAGCTCTGTTCCACAAGGCACAGTACTCGCTCCCATCTTGTTCCTCATCCTCATATCCGACATAGACAAGGATGTCAGCCACAGCACCGTGTCTTCCTTTGCAGATGACACCCGAATCTGCATGACAGTGTCTTCCATTGCAGACACTGCAAAGCTCCAGGCGGACATCAACCAAATCTTTCAGTGGGCTGCAGAAAACAATATGAAGTTCAACGATGAGAAATTTCAATTACTCAGATATGGTAAACATGAGGAAATTAAATCTTCATCAGAGTACAAAACAAATTCTGGCCACAAAATAGAGCGAAACACCAACGTCAAAGACCTGGGAGTGATCATGTCGGAGGATCTCACCTTCAAGGACCATAACATTGTATCAATCGCATCTGCTAGAAAAATGACAGGATGGATAATGAGAACCTTCAAAACTAGGGAGGCCAAGCCCATGATGACACTCTTCAGGTCACTTGTTCTATCTAGGCTGGAATATTGCTGCACACAAACAGCACCTTTCAAGACAGGTGAAATTGCTGACCTAGAAAATGTACAGAGAACCTTCACGGCGCGCATAACGGAGATAAAACACCTCAATTACTGGGAGCGCTTGAGGTTCCTAAACCTGTATTCCCTGGAACGCAGGCGGGAGAGATACATGGTTATATACACCTGGAAAATCCTAGAGGGACTAGTACCGAACTTGCACACGAAAATCACTCAATACGAAAGCAAAAGACTTGGCAGACGATGCAACATCCCCCCAATGAAAAGCAGGGGTGTCACTAGCACGTTAAGAGACCATACAATAAGTGTCAGGGGCCCGAGACTGTTCAACTGCCTCCCAGCACATATAAGGGGGATTACCAACAGACCCCTGGCAGTCTTCAAGCTGGCACTGGACAAGCACCTAAAGTCGGTTCCTGACCAGCCGGGCTGTGGCTCGTACGTTGGTTTGCGTGCAGCCAGCAGCAACAGCCTGGTTGATCAGGCTCTGATCCACCGGGCCTGGTCACAGACCGGGCCGCGGGGGCGTTGACCCCAGGAACTCTCTCCAGGTAAACTCCAGGTAAACTCCAGATCCCCCTACAGGCGCGGTATAATCCTGTGGGTTTAGCACTTCCTCATGATTATTATAACTATAATTAATGATTATTATAATTATAATGCCAGAGTCATGTAGCTTGTTAGTGATGGAGCGAGACACACACCCACACACTCCTTCATGGCCTTGTCAAATTGGGTTTAATATATACTGAACGATCTTCATCGAGCATAACGGCTCTGTGTACCATAAGTCAAAATTAATTTTTCTCCGACCTCCTACCCACCACCGAGCTAAAGAAGGGACCCACACCTCAAGCAGTGTACCTTAATGCTAGAAAAGGTTCTAGATCCAGGGAATTAAGAGCTTTCATCTTCCTCGGATCACAACTGATTTCCTACCCTTTCCCAAACGCAGTATGACGCTGACGGATTTCGAGGTTTTCCCATAAACATTATATCCCGTGTGGCATCAGGTGACGCTGGACGGACGAGAGTTGCTGCCTGCCTCTGAGGACCCTGACGATGGCTGCAACACCATAGATGAATATTCCTACAGCAGATATTGCTTCACCTCAGGTAGATGAATGAAGCCTTCACCTGCACGGGGGTATCAGTGGAACTGTTATATTGTGACCATAATTTTGGGTGATTTAGACACGGGCTAGAGATAGTGAGGCATATTTATTTAAAGCAGAAATTGTGTGTATTGGGTTAAATACAGTAATTGTGTGGTTTAGATATATTTTAATGATGAAATGTTAGCATGGACTACTCGAGGACAAAGATTCAGGTACACAATTGACATACAAAAATAAAGCAAGTACAAGATCGACCAGCTTTCTTAGAAATCAAACGAGTAGCGATGCAGTTCCCCTGGATTTTCCTTAGCCTTCTCTCTCATACTTCCTTGCAGGAGACGCACGGGTCAATGAGCAGACACTTTTGACGTCTCTGCACACAGTGTGGGCCCGCCAGCACAATATGCTGGCCATCGAACTCAAAGATCTCAACCCAGAGTGGGACGACGAGACTCTCTTTCAGGAAGCCAGGAGGATCGTGGTGGCTCAGATGCAGCACATTACTTACAACGAATACGTTCCTAGCTTGATAGGTAAGTGCAGAGCTTCAGGTCAGGACAAATTCTGACGTCTGAGTTGACTCCGAGGTCTTTTGTATATATATAATGTTTTAACCGGCTTACCTACACCTGTATTTCCTGGCCTCCACAGGACCAACATTCATGAAACACCTACAACTAAGCCCACAATCTGAAGGAAAACAAACCACCGACTACGATGAGAACTTATCCCCGACAATCGCCAATGAGTTCGCCGCTGCTGCTTTTCGCTTTGGACATAGCCAGATACAAGTAAGTTTTGTTACAGGGCCAGCTTCAAATAAGTTCCCCACATACCCACAAACAAGTAAACCAGTGAGCGTTAATGGATACATGAGGGAGCATGAGGGTAGTCATTCGGGTTTGATCGAAGGATGAGGTTAAGTCCAATTCTTTGGATCAAGAACCCCTCACCAGTGTCGAAGAACCTTCCTTGAGGGAAGATCTGCAACAATATACTTGTGTGGGTATATTCAGGTATCTGGGGTCACAGGCGCCTCCATTTTCTCTCTCTCCCTCTCCAGGGAGGTTCCTTGAGGCCACTGAGGGGCTCTTGATCCCAAAATCGAACTTAATTGCTTCCTGTTCCCCCAGGCACTGTATAAACTAGAGATGTATCGGATATCCGCATCCGCTAACATCCGCACAATTTCTTACATCCGCCACCGCATTTTACTGTAAACAGATATCCTCATGTGCATCCGCAAAGTAAGACATCCTCATACACATCCGAGGATATCTAAATTTTCACATCCGATACATCTCTAGTATGAACCCTACAGATTTAGCGTTCATTCCTTCTCCTCATCAATGTAATAATAAACTCCAACTACTCAGATCAAGAATCCTTCAAATACTCCAAGGAACCTCCTGAAGGAGTTACCTGGTGATGCCTTCTCTGCAGTCGTCCCAAAGATGGATTCATTCTTCATTCTAAAAGTTCATTATTAAAGTCGTATGGTTAATCTATTTCACCTTTAAGAGCCTCACTTGCATGAATGGCTGCAGCAACTGACCTTGATGTAATACGACAGTCAACGTGATACTTGGAATTACAATCATGAGTGTTAAATCCATGTCGGTCATTCAGTGCTGTGAATAAACGTTTTATAAAACCGACCACTTAGAGACACTTATGCAACATTTGGGTATTTTTATTCTGGAAACGTTTCGCCACCTCTTCAGTCCAACGAAGAGAAAGGATGAAGATGAGGAGGAGTTTGAGGTAATCAGTCCCAAATGTTACTCAAATGTCTCTTGTCAATCAGCGTTGCATGGAAGAGCTGGGGCAACTACGGGAGGCGGGGAGCTGACAGACATGAGAAGTACAGAAGAAATTTGGTTAAGTACAAGGGCGACAGGAGGTCATCATAGTTCAGTAAATATTTTATCAAAACGTTAAAGATAACAGGCCATTTATCACAAGATGTTAAAATGTGAGCACAGTTTATTTCCTGTGGTTACCTGGAGGTTACCTGGAGGTTATTCCGGGGATCAACGCCCCCGCGGCCCGGTCCACGACCAGGCCTCCCGATGGATCAGGGCCTGATCAACTAGGCTGTTACTGCTGGCCGCACGCAGTCCGACGTACGAGCCACAGCCCGGCTGATCCGGCACTGACTTTAGGTATCTGTCCAGCTCTCTCTTGAAGGCAGCCAGGGGTTTATTGGCAATTCCCCTAATGCTTGATGGGAGGCTGTTGAACAGTTTTGGGCCCCGGACACTTATGGTGTTTTCTCTTAGTGTACCAATGGCGCCCCTACTTTTTATTGGCGGCATTTTGCATCGCCTGCCCAGTCTTTTACTTTCGTAGGGAGTGATTTCTGTGTGCAGATTTGGGACCATTCCTTCCAAGATTTTCCAAGTGTAGATTATGATATATCTCTCCCTCCTGCGTTCCAACGAGTACAAGTCAAGTGCTTCTAAGCGTTCCCAGTCTCGGGGTTTTGAAAACAGTTACTGTTGTAACTTGTTTAGTTAACAGAATGGTGGAATCCAGTCTCTGGATCCCTTATATATTTCTCTAATTTTTAGGTTACAAGCCCACTGGATCGGTATGAGGTACACAGTTAAGCAATCACACTAACCCAGGGTTCTCGGCCCCAAGGGTAAGGGATAAATCCACACAAAACTAATAGTCTTGCAACAACAACGGAACTTCAACTGTTTACAACGTAAACAGTTGAAGTAGCTGAGCACCAAGGACTAAAAGCGTAAATACAGCAAAACTAGTGAGAAGCAAACTTATCAGTGTATTATCTCTGCAGGTTGATCGTCAATTTAAAACAAAAATCATATTCACACTAACAGTCCTTTCCTTTCAGGGTCTGGTGCAGAAAATCGACGGTCCAGGCAAGAACGTGGAGTTTACGCAGTTGAACAGTATTATGTTACAGCCGTTTATCCTCTACGACCAGGGCACCATGGCCAACCTACTACGTGGACAAACCTCACAGAGCGCTGCTGCCGTCGACACATTCTTTTCTACACAAGTGGGTGCTGGAGGACCTTAATGAATGTTTATGCCAAATTCTGACCCTACCCTTTGTATGTTGCAGCATAAATCGCCATTTGTCAGATGACATTTTTCCAATCTTCAGTTGTCCGGTTACAGTGAGCCTGTGCCCACTGTAGCCTCAGTTTCTTGGTCCTAGCTGACAGAAATGGAACCCAGTGTAATCTGCTGCTGTAGACTGTCCACTTCAAGGTTTAATATACTGTGCAGTCAGAGATGCTCTTCTGCATTCCCCTGTTGTAACACGTGGTTATTCGAGTTACTGTCACCTACCTGTCAACCTGAACCAGTCTGGCCGTTCTCCTCTGACCTCTCTCATTATCCAGGCGTTTTTGCCCACAGAATTGCCACTCACTGCATGTTTTGTTTTTCTCGCCATTTTCTGTAATCTCTAGAGACTGTGAAAATCCCAGATCAGTTTCTAAGACATTCAAACCACCCTGTCTGGGACCAAGACTCATTCTATGGTCAAAGTCACTTAGATCACATTTCTTCCCCATTCTGATGTTTTGGTCTGAACAACAACTGAACCTCTCGACCATGTTTACATTTATGCCTTGATGCTGTCACTGATTGGCTGATTAGATATATGCATTAACAAACGGGTGTACAAATGTACCTAATAAAGTGGCCACTGCCCCTGCTCTGGGATAATGAGGATATCTTAATAGAAAAAAATTCTCCTGTGTAAGGAACAGATTTACGTTTCTTGATGTAAAATTAGCATTAGGAATAATATTAGGAGAGAAGTGGATAATAGGGCCGAGTGTTGAGGGAGAGCGGTTGGAGGCCTGAGTGTACTCGCCTATTTGTGGTTGTAGGGATCGATACATAGCTCCTGGCCCCGCCTTTTCACTGATCGCTACTATGAGCTTTATCATACCTCATCTTAAAACTATGTATGGTTCCTACCTCCACTACGTCACTTGCCAGACTATTCCCCTTTCTGACAACTCTGACTTAAGAAATACTTAACATCTCTTTGACGATGGCATGAACACAGATGGGTGCTTTTAATAAATGGTTTAGAAAACCGACAGGCACTACTACTCATATTCCACTGTCCTCTGTTTAGACAGAAAAGGCCGCTGGCTGGCGAAACTTTTCCAGAGTAAAGCTACCCAAATTTTGCGCAAGTATAGATGGGTACGTTTATGGAGCAACTTGCAATATGAACAGACTGACGTTGTAGTAACCAGGCTTAGGCTTAGTTAACAGTATATTTCTGACAGTTTGGCAGACACACAGATAATGATCAAATGCAAAGCATGTAGTTTTTTTTATTATTATTCGCCGGTACTCTCCCGGCCCGGGTCTTTTCCAAGAGTGGTGACCCGGCCTTGGCTCCCTTTACTATCTTGAACACTATGTACTTAACTTATAGGGCATATAAAGATAGTATAAAACCTATGTGATATGTCACGATATCTGAGTTTTGAAAATAAGATACCAGGCATATTAAGTAAATTTTCTAAATTTGCTTGAAACCGGTAAGTCAACTGTAGATATAAATCCAGATGTGCTCCTGTTAACTCTTTCGAGGCCTAGTACCTAGATCGCGGGTTTTATCCCCGCCCGTGGTATGGTTTGTTTGCAATCGTGTCATTACGATTTCATGAGCCTAGCACCTAGGTTTTTTTGTGTATCTGTATGCTCTTGTGCTACCGTCCATATGCTAGATATTGGATGCACAATAAACTAGCCACTTCGGCGGCATAATCTAAAAATCTGATATATTTTCCTGAAGCTTCAGTAGCTGATGAACACTTTCTGAATTATCTGATATATTCATTGTCCCATCGAAATCTCCCAGCTCCAGCTGACGAATTTCAACTCTTATATTCCCCATCTTGCGTGATGGAGCTAGCTTTCGTTCCCACTGTTAATTATCATATAGAATAGGGTAACAGCACATTGTTGATGTATCCAACTTTATTTAATATGTCTTAGAGACACTAAAAAATACACAAATTGGTGCGTGTCTGCAGGTATCCGGTAAGTTGTTCAAAGGAGACGATCAGTTCGGCCTCGATCTGGTATCGTTGAACATCCAGCGGGGAAGAGACCACGGAGTGAGCGCCTACAACCGCTGGAGGATGTATTGCGGCTTCAAACCAGCTTCGAATTTTACCGACCTCGCTCAGGACATGGACGCTGGTGCCCTTAAGAGCATCATGGATGTTTATAGGTGAGAGGTCGACTTTGTGTAGCTTATTCAATGTGTGGGATCTGCAGAACTGTGTAGCTGAGACGGGAAAGTCTGGTTTTGAGTGGCGGGTCTGTTTTGGGATTAGCAGAATGATGGTTGAGCCTTCACCATCCCTTGTTTTGATTGAATCACACTGGTTTAGTGTACGTACGTTGGTTTGCGTGCAGCCAGCAGCAACAGCCTGGTTGATCAGGCACTGATCCACCAGGAGGCCTGGTCACAGACCGGGCCGCGGGGGCGTTGACCCCCGAAACTCTCTCCAGGTAAACTCTCCAGGTAAATGAGACAGGATGGGCGTTTATATATATATATATATTATAATATATATATATATATATATATATATATATATATATATAATATATATTATATATATATATATATATATATATATATAAATGTGTCCCTGCACCCCAAGGAGTCTGACTCCTAACAAATATTTCTAACACTTCCCCCCTACACATGTCAAGATATCTTATTAATGAAAATAAGATACCAGATATACTAAGCAGATTTCCTAAATTTGCTTGTAACAGATAAGTGAACTATAGATATGTGGATATAAATCCGTATGTTTTTCTGTTAACCCCTTTAGTGCCTAGTTCCTAGGCCTTTTGTGTATCCATATGCTCTTGCGCTACCGTCCACAGGATGGATATGGGATGCACAATAAACTAGCCACTTCGGTGGCAAAATCTAAAATCAGCACTGGCCACTGCCCATCGAAATATTCTCTGGGCCCTTGCAATACTCCATGGTTCCCAGCAGTATGTAGTTGTCCCCTATATTACTTCCCGTGTAAAATACTCCTTGCAATTCTTCCTTGCCTCTGCAGTACTAAATAGCCTCCTATAATTCACTTCGGTAATAATAAGATCAATTTAAAATATTTTCTGACCGTTTACGTCTCAGATTCCCTATCAAGGTCTTTGATTCCCTATAACACTCCCTGGCTCACCTAACCCATGACAATCCTTTCCTAGTGCAGCACTACAATCGGTCTAATGACTAGAGGACGGAGGATCGAACCTCCACTAATCCTTGTACTCGATAACCCGCATGGGTTACGGATTCTGATTAAAAACTAAAATCCCAGACTCTCCCTAACCTCTAAATAACAACTTTACGTATATTCCCCGTCCTTCCACTACACTGATACCATATATATTGGTCAACACTCCTTTTCTGGCTAATGATATTACACCGATTTTTGGGGCAAGTTTGTGTCGCTGATTCCGAATGTCATTGGTTTTTCTTGATAGGAACATTAAATGGTTTATTTCGAGAACAAAATTACTGATACAAAAACATTTCATCTTGATTTTTCACAGGAACGTGGATGACATAGACTTCTTCACGGGCGGTCTGGCTGAGAGACCAGTCAAAGATGGTCTAGTGGGACCAACCTTTGCTTGTCTCATCGCTGACCAGTTCCTCAGACTCAAAAAAGGAGACAGATTCTGGTATGAGACTGCGGACCTTCCACAAGCCTTCACCAAAGGTGAGGTAAATTGTCTGATTTGGTAGGGTTAAGCTTGTTTATATGTGAGTTTGTTTGGTCCCTCAGTGTGGCTGACCCTGTGTTAGTTAACCCTGTTGAGTGCTTGTTTAACTATGTGGAGTACTTGTTTGGTTTTATAAGGTGCTTGTTTGCTTTATGGAGTGCTTGATTGACACTTTGAGAGGCCTGTCTGGTGCTGTAATGTTTGGCCCTCAGTTACGTGTCTTGCTCATTGGGGGGAGGTGCTCGTTTGGCATTGTGAAGCGATTGGTTATGTGGGGCACTTGTGCATTGTTGGCTCTCTGGGGCGCTTCTTAGCCTAGTAGATACTTGTTTGGTTCTATGGGACCAAACAAACACAATACCAACACCGAAGAATCACCCATGGGGTGATTTTTTGGTAGTGTTGGGGTGCTTGTTTGACCCTGTTTGCGCTTGTTTAGAGCTATGGGATGCTTGTTTGACTCTGAGATACTTATTTAGTGCTGTGGGGTACTCCTTGAGCAATGTGAGGTATTTGGTTCTGTTAACTGTTATTTTTTGGCGATGTTGAATGATAGTTCCGTCCTGTGAGATGCTTGTTTGATCTGTGGGATATTTGCTTGATTTTTTGGGGCGGTGGGGGGCTGTTTGGGCTTATTGGGTGTTTCGTCAAATGGGGCGATTGGTTATGTGTAATGTTTGGTCCTACGAGGTGTTTTGTCATGTGGTTTAATTCATTAGCCCTATATTTTGTTAGCTTAGGCCTCTTACATGCCTTGTGAATACCTGGAGAGGGTTTTGAGGTCAATGCCCCCTTGGCCCGGTCTGAGATCAATTCAATTCAATTCAATTCAAAGTTTATTCTCTATAAGGATTACAATGCTGAGTTTACAGAATTTGGTTATTGTGTGGTTTACATGTAGTAAAATAATAATTACAGAGTGTACCACTAGAACACCTAGCATGGTTAGGCATTTCGGGCAGACTTAGTTTAAATCTTAATTTTAAAATATTACAAATTATGAGGTAAGTTGGTAGTATGGCTAAGTGACTAAATATTAGTCTGTGAGTTTAGCAATGTGAATGCTTTTGTTTTGGCACAGTACATAGTTTCAGTATTGGAGTATCACAGGATTCATTATTTTAAGATTGAGATTAATATTTCTGTTTATGGTCAAATGGGTGAGTGAGTGTAAGTGTGAACCACCAGGTGGTATTCGGGGTGTATCAGGGAGATAAGTTGTTTTCTAATGGTAGTTTTGAAGGTGATGAATGTGTCTGCAGTTCTAGAGTTCTCAGGTAGGGTGTTCCAGATTTTAGGGCCTTTGACATACATTGAATTTTTGTAAAGGTTTAGTCGGACACGGGGAATGTCGTAGAGATGTTTGTGTCTGGTGTTATGCCTGTGGGTTCTGTCACAACTATCAAGAAAGCATTTTAGGTCAAGGTTGATATTGGAGTTTAAGGTCCTGTAGATGTAGATTGCACAGTAGTAAGTGTGGATGTACTGAACAGGGAGTAAGTTTAGATCTATGAAGAGTGGGGGGGAGGGGTGTTGCCAGGGATGGGATTTAGTGATTATTCTTACTGCAGCTTTTTGTTGGGTTATTATTGGCTTTAGGTGTGTTGCTGCAGTTGATCCCCAAGCACAAATAGCATAGGTGAGGTATGGATAAATAAGTGAGTGGTATAGTGTGAGAAGGGCATTTTGCGGCACGTAGTATCGTGTCTTGGAGAGGATCCCAACCGTTTTGGATACTTTTTTGGTTATGTGTTGGATATGGGTGCTGAAGTTCAGTTGTTGTCGAGGTATAGGCCTAGGAATTTGCCCTCATTATGTCTGGTAATTAGAGTGTTGTCGATCTTAATGTTAATTTGTGCATCTCCTGCTCTGCTACCAAACATAATATAGTAGGTTTTGTCAGTATTAAGCATAAGTTTATTGGCTGTCATCCAAGTCGATATTTTGATCAGCTCCTCGTTAACAATGGTGTTGAGGGTGGCAAGATTAGGGTGAGAGATGACATAAGTCGTGTCGTCAGCAAAAAGAAAGAGAATGGGTTTCAGGTGTTGGGAGATCAGGCCTCATAGTGGATCAGGGTCTGATCAAGTAGGCTGTTAACTGCTGGTCACACACAAACCGAAGTATGAACCACAGCCTGGTTGGTCAGGTACTGACTTTAGGTGCCTGTCCAGCGCCTTCTTGAAGACAGCCAAGGCTCAATTGGTAATCCCTCTTACGTATGCTGGCAGGCAGTTTAACAGTCTTGGGTCCCTGACATTTACTGTGTTCTCTTCTTGTGCTCGTGGTGCCCCTGCTTTTCATTGAGTTAATGTTGCATCTCTTGCAGAGTCTTTTGCTTTCAGAGTGAATGATTTTCATGTGCATTTAGTACTAATCCCTCTAGGATTTTCCAAGTGTATATTATCGTGTATCTCTCTCGCCTGCATTCCAGGGAATACAAGTCAAGGGACTTGATTTGTAGTGCGCCATGAAAGTTTCTTGTACACTCTCCAGGTCAGCAGTTTCGCCTGCCTTGAAGGGGCAGTTAGTATACAGCAGTATTCAAAGTCAAAAAGTGAGTGCGAGTCAAAGTCAGGGCCGTGAGCAAGGAGGGAAGATAAAGTAAGAGTGGTAGAGCGACAGTGGAGGTAAATTCTGTGAGCTCGCTGGTGAAGGGAGGATCAAGAGCCCCTCCCTGGTATCAAGGCACTTTTATCATTCACAACAGATGTTGAAAGGAAATTCATTACTTTTACCCATTTAGTATTTTTTTGTTAGCTCTATAACTATGTAGGGGGAAGTGTCAACTCCATAGGAATCACGTAAATTAATCAGGTTCGATCCAGGGGGACAGGTCCAATTGCTTGCATTAAGGAACCTCCCTAGAGGTTTTAGTCCTATAGGGTGACTTTTCATTTAGGATGTTTCTCAACTCCTCATTACCTCCTAAATATTTATAATTAAGCAACAGCTTTGAGAACTTTTCCTCTTCAACACCACTGCAATCTGCTTCTGTTCTGTTTTAGTAATGATTCTCTGCCTTCCACAGAACAACTGGCTGAGCTGCACAAGGTCTCTATAGCGAGGATACTCTGTGATAACGTGCCTGAATTGGGCTCCATACAGCGGTGGCCTCTGAGGAACTTTGCTACAGGAAACCCCAGACTACCCTGCTCCTCAACCTCCATTCCTAGAGTTGACCTTGACCCCTGGGAGAACGACCAATTATAGGTTAGAAACGCTAGCTAATGAATTGTATTGAAACCATTATTCATGGAAGGCCTATTACATGTGATTGAATTGTAGAGCGAGTTATTTGGTAAATTGCTAAATCCGTAGGGGTTACACAGCACCAGATTTAATCAGTGAGAGAGGACAGGTCCAGTTTGTTGGACCTTGGTCCCATTACTAGCATCAAGACGCCTATCTCCCAATAGGGGGAGAATGACAGTTTAGATTCAAAAGTAAGTTACTTATAAATAAGAACAGGCAACTAATATATTGGCCAGCAAACTTTTACACACCAAAAAAATCTAATTTTTTAATGTTTTCTTAAATTCAAACTGTTGTCATATTAAATACTTTTAGCAGTATATTAAAATGCTGTTCATAAGTAGTACAGGTCAGTCATCAGTAATCCGGCAATCAGTTGTCTGGTTCCATCAGTAATCCGGCACTAATTTCAGCTAGCATAATTTCAAATTTCATCATTATACTGACTCAGAAATTGTGCAGATGGTTGTAAATCCACAGCAGCAAGCCAGTGGAGGAGAAAGCAGTGATGAAAATGAGAAAGATGTAGCAGTCTCTCTATTGATAGGCTAAATAAGTATTCTAACTTAACCAGCCTGTAATCCGGCAAATTCACTAATCAGGCACACAGCAGGTCCCAGTGATGCCGGATTAGTGATGGCCGACCTGTAGTAAACAAGAAGCAATACTGTACAAGAAGTTTAAGATGTAAAAATGCATTGAAATAAATGTAAGGTAGTGACTTCTTAAAGGTGAGAACCCATAATAGTCATACATTCATGGAGAGGAAAGAGTGCTGAACCCACAGGGGTCAGAGCACCTGGGAGATAATCAGGTTTGATTCAAGGAAATGGAGGACAAGCCTAATTTCTTACAACAAAAACCCCTCACCAGCATAAAGACATTATCTTCCTTGAGATGGAACTGTAATACCATTATTAGTTACCAGTAATGCAGTGATATTAGGGAGCATGTGGTAGCTACGTTCTAGGGTGGTTGGTAAAGCCAACGTGTGATGAGTGGTAAATTTATGTGAAATGTTTGAAAGAGGCACAGGTGTTTATGTAGGGTGAGAATCTGAAGGTAATGTATTAACAGAGCTAGTATCTTAAGGTGTATTCAAACATGCTTGAATAACAATCCTTTTAATGTTTCTTTTTTTAAGTTGGGGTTTGTGGAGATTCATTTTGGGTTTTCTCTGTGGCAAATGCTGGTATGGCCTCAATCATTTCTGTAGTCAGGCATGGTGTACTATGTTGCAAGAGGATAGACATGATAAAAACAGGTGAGAGGTTGTCTCCTGAGATGGGAGTGTCTTTGCAGCTGCAGGTGGAGTAGTAGAAGCATGTAGAGGTGAAAACAGCATGAAGAGACATGTTGGGAAGGAGTTTTAAAGACTGCATTTTTCTTTTAAGTCTGAGATTGTGGTGTAAGTGTTGAAGGAGGAACTGAGAGGTACTGAAGATGGCAGAAGAAAAAAGAGGTAGGAACATCAAATGTAAGGGCTTCACAAGGGTTTAAAACTTGGATGATTGTATTAGAAGTTACTATTAGGCATTGTCAAGCAGCTATGGAGTAGGATATCTATGGAATTTTTCCCTTGAAGATGAAGCCGAATCACAGCCATATTATGACACTCTCTATTTTCTTTCAACAGTGTATTTTGCTGTCTCAAAGGAAAACAGGGCACTGGTGAGAAATTCAGGGTGTACTTGGCTGCAGTCAAGGCATCTAGGAAGTTGGTCACAGGGAACTGAAGGGTAGTAATAATGTTGGTAGAATTACCGACAATATGTAAAGTAAAAGGACACAAGTGCAGCTAATGTGACATTTTATTGTGGCAACGTTTCGCTTTCCAGGAGCTTTGTCAAGCCAATACAAACAGTATATGGACACAGAGGGTATATAAAGGCTCAGAGAGTGAACACAGAAACAGGCCTTCTCCAGTCTATATTTGTCCAACCTATTTTTGTTACCCAAGTAATAGCCTTTACAGTGGACCCCCGCATAACGATCACCTCCGAATGCGACCAATTATGTAAGTGTATTTATGTAAGTGCGTTTCTACGTGTATGTTTGGGGGTCTGAAATGGACTAATCTACTTCACAATATTCCTTATGGGAATAAATTCAGTCAGTACTGGCACCTGAACATACTTCTGGAGTGAAAAAATATCGTTAACCGGGGGTCCACTGTATATCCTTTTACTCGTGTACGAATTAATTGCTCTACTACAACTTTTGTCTCTACTACTACCACTAGTGAACATCGAAATAGTACCTCACTAGTATTGCACCTCACTCTGAGCCTTTATACCCTCTGTGTCCATATACTGCTTCTACCAGCTTGACAAAGCTCCTGGAGAGTGAAACGTTGCCACAATAAAATGTCACATTAGTTGTACTTGTGTCCTTTTACTTTACAAACTGAAGGGTAGTTTAGCTACATTGCTTGAATATCATCTCTGAGGGCAGGCTGTGCAGAGGTTTCAACTTTGGTGACACAGAGATGTTGGAGCTCGAGATGCTCATGAATGTCCAGGTTGGATTGTGTAAATTCTTGTATTAATGTGTGTGGGATGAGTCCAACTTGAATTGAGGAAGAAATGTCTATACTGTGGCTAGGATGTTGCAGGTAGTGTGGCTATGCAAAAGGTTGGTGGCCTGGTCATTGTTTATAGTGACTATATATCCCACTCCTAAGGGCATAGTAGAAGACATTTTGGCTGACAGTCATGAATTCTTTATTAATATTCTGTAAGGTAATACGCTTGGTTTGTTAGCTGAAGAGAAAATAATTTTGTCCAGTTTTATTTTCTAAATACAATACTTTCTGTAAGGGAAGAGATTACCAGCTTGTGTGTTTCTTAGAATGTTAGTGACCTACAGTATTAGTACTGTCTGTGTAGAGGGTCTTTTGGAAGAAAGCTTCAAGTCCATCTATCATGTTACATGAACAATCCAAGAATTGTCAAAAGCTGATCATGGTTAAGCGTGGGTCAGAGGTACCAGAGGAGGTATGCAAAAGGTCAGAGCTGAGTTCAGGCAACAACTGATTGCCAAAAAATATTAGATTCTGATAATCCATAGCCCTGCAGAGTCCAGTAAATGATGTCACGGTCACTTTCACTTAGGATCACGGAGAATGAGTCAATGGTCACCTTAGTGGAAACTGCCTTTTTACCCTACCTAGTACATAACACCCACACAAAACATGCATTATTTATTGAGCTAAGTTTAGTGAAACCACCTGATCAGGCACTAGTCATATTATTGATGATATAAAATTATACAAATAAGTTGACAAGACCTGTGCAAAACTTTGGTATCTTTATTGCTAAATTAGTAATAGTACTGATGTGATCAGTCCATTACCCTTGGTAGATGGTCAGTCCCACAACCTTGGACTGACTACTACTTACCAAGGGAGACAAACTGACCACATCAAAGCTGCTTCTGTCTCCAGCGTCGCATTTTCCTGTATTCGAATGAAGAAGCTCGCTATGCAGGCAAAATGTGTTGGCAATAAAGATACCCAAATAGTGCAGATCTTATTCATCAGCACTAACAATGCAATCTTGTCAGCTAATAAGTGGTTGGCAAACTGGAATGAATGGCAGGAGTCATACACCTTCAGTTACTGCTTCAGAATCCACAAGCAACATCCAGTAATATTTCCAGCATCAAAATCTCTGGCAGATGGCCACCTGATGTCTCACTGGAGAGTTGCCTGATACACTCCAAGATCTAATTTCCATTGGGTGAAATGACAACTACAGCAGCACTAGTAATGGCCGTAACATTAAAACGACAGATTGTGTGTGGCTTCCCCCCCCCCCCATCTTGGACATGGGTGTCACAAGAGGAGGAAATTTCCCTACTAATTAGGCCAATGAGAGAGAGGAAAAAAAGAGAAAGAACTGATGGGGGGGGAGGTAGTATTTAGATTTGATTTGAGATAGGATAGGAGGTACAGTTCTTCAGATCAAACTCCTTCACTGTGTCAACACCAACCGAAGGGGCCTCCTAGGCATCATACTAATTATAATAAGTGATTGTCATATGAACAATTAGTCCAGTAGTATACTTCTACAAAATACAGTGGACCCCCGCTTTATGATCACCTCCCAATGCGACCAATTATGTAAGAGCGTTTGTACGTGTATGTTTGGGGGTCTGAAATGGACTAATCTAATTCACAATATTCCTTATGGGAACAAATTCTTTCAGTACTGGCACCTGAACATACTTCTGGAATGAAATAATATCGTAAACCGGGGGTCCACTGTATATTGTTAACCTTAATTTGACCTTAAAACTTCAAAACTATACATGATATGCAGTTGAGAAAAGGTGAAACTAAAATATTAATAAAGATTACAGTATTTGCTCTAAAATTTTCCATAATCTTTTTTCCTCCACTTCCAACTTTGTATACCTTCTCATAAATGTTTCTTCCTGGACCAAGGAAAATAAGTACAATAAAAACAACTTAATGAAAATGTGGAATAATCTAACTTAAATATAGTAGCACATAAATAAAAATATAATACATATGCAATGAAAATTTTAAAGGATTTGCAGGATGTGGAAAAAATCTGTACTCACAGCTAGATTTGCAGTTTAAATAAATAATTTTAGGAATCTAGTAAAACTTATCTGAAACCACTAATTACTGTATTTTATTTACAAACACAATAAGATAAAATGTCACTTCTTACTAACAAAAACACCAACAAGATTGTCTACCCTAGAGCTGTTAGTAAGTAGTTAGGTCATGATGCCTTTATAGTGACTTGTCACCACCATTGTAACACTGAGTGAAACATGTTGAGAAGTGTCATCACAACATTAGCAAGCATCAGTGACAAGTTGCAGTAACAAGAATTAAGTTGGTTATGTTAAGTCATGATGGCTGGAGACCAACATTATGATGATGCACCATTGTGGTCATTAGGTTGTTTATATATCAAGGCACAAAGAAATCAACACAGAAAATAAAACAAGTGGCTAAAAAGAGTATGGAATATTTCAGCTTCACACTGAGGCACTTTCCAGCAGTCATCTACTGATGAGGGCCTCAAGGGTAAGTCAAAATATTCAGTGCTGTACTCTACTTACATTGCATTTTTTTATGCTGATTTGTTTGTAGTATTGACGGGTGTTTATTACACTTTTTTTTTTTTTTATCTTATGGTGGCATGTCAGTATAGTAATATAAAGTGTCTCTGATGTGATCCATTCTATGCACATATGGCACTAGAATGAAACAAAGCACCACAAGAAATAATGATAAAACATGGAACAACTCGTAGTGGCACAATAGCACGTGATATTTAGGATTATCACCATGACAAAGTGCTCTCAACCATCATCAACTCCATGGATAAAACCAATAATATATACTGTACTCCTAAAATATATATCTAAAAGTTATTAACAATTACACTTATCACAAACTCTCGTGCACTTACTGATACTCAAAAACAAAACCAATTTTATATTCTGTTGTAACTATTAGTAGTATCAAATGCACCTATTTTATCATACAAGCAATATATTACTCTGATAATAAAAATTAATAAAAATTGGTTATAAGAAGCATCAGTATATAGGAATGTAGAGAATATTTTAAGGCTTAGTTTGATCTGTAAGATGCAGAGAAAGTTTGTCAGGACATTTTGGATAAGACTCACTCAAGAGACGAATTGTTAAGTACACATTAGGTTGAACACTCAAAAAGGTATTGATATTTAAATATACTGTACATTACTCAAGTTGTACCTCAGAAGAATAAGAGGATGAGGAATTTAGCAAATTTTCTTCCCTTTAATAAAACACTAGCACTATTTTATTACAACAAAGGCATATTAAATATGAGCAGTATTTCATTAAGGTTAGGGTATAGGTCTATACTAAAAAAAAAAAAAACTCGCCAGCATTTCGGTAAAGCTTGACTTTTATGCCTAAAGAAATTTTTAGGGCTAAAATTACCTGTTTTCAAATGCAATGAAACTCCATACACTACAAGAAGTAAAATTTTTTTAATATTTATTACACTGCAAATATTCTTCTGACAGCTTGCAAATCTGTATGCTGTGTTCTTGCATATATGATTCTGGTGTCTCTAAATTTGAGAAATTAATGGATCTTAAAAAAAGAATTTTATATTGTGTAACAAATCCCTAATGAAAGTTAGTTATCTTGTCCATAAATATTGTGTGTTTTGCTAGAGAATATTTTGATCATTAAAATATTTGTTTTTAGCTAAAGCATGATTTGGTAAGAAGACTACGTTAGTGCTTGAAAACCCAGGTCAAAAGGTCCTACATTAAATTTTTGAAGATCAAAGATTGCACGTTTGAATAAAAAATAACTGAAACCACCGTCTTTCACCATAAACAAGAAATACTGAGACGAGACTAGACTAGCATATATACTTTATAATTCAGCAGGTTTCATATACATGTATTTCAGATAAACTTTTTCCTCTTAAAACTTCAGTAATTTCCATCACAGTACATGCTGAAAGAATTGCATGAAATTTCCATTGAATTCAACTGCAAACAGACAAAACCCCACAAAATTAAGATATACAATACATATGAAAAAAATTAATGGCCTAATGTATTTATATAGTGTGATAGCAAGTTACTGATAATCATAAATAAAGCTAAGCTTTTGTTTGTGCATCTCATGGTAAACCAGTGCACATGTATACTTGTGTGTATGCAACCACTAATTTCTTAACATGTGCATGCAATAACTAACACCTGCAAACATGGAAAGAAAAAGTACTGGAATTCAGTCTTGGTAAGTGCAAAGGAATGAGAATAGGAGAGTGATAAAGAAGTTGTGAGAATGGAAGAACACTTTGACCTGATATCTCTCGGCAATAAAATTTAAATATGAACATACATAAGAACACCCATGGAGTAAGAAAATTGGATATGGGATATAGCCTGGGATGAAAGGCACTGCAGATAACACACAAGAGAAAGATCTAGAGGTAAGTCTCACCAATCATATTGTTGGAAGCAGTGTACTTTTACATTCAATTTATATAACCTCATTGGCTAACTTGAGAACTTTTTTGTTTAAACTTAACAAAGAATCACTTGGGACATTAAGCCAATTTTGGAATACACAGTACTGGCATGGACCCCACATCTGAAAAAAACTCAAGCCACTCGAAAATTTCACACCGAGTTTGGTACCGGAAATGAATGGTATGGACTATAATTAAACACAGTATTATTTACAAAATGAGTGCAAAGTCTTTTTGAGTCATTCAACACTGCATAACAAATAGTGTTAATGTCAGGGTAAAAACAGGTGTGGAGAGTGAGCTTATATGTAAAACAAAGTCAAAGTTAGTGCGGTCAGTCAGTTTCATTTAAGTCAAAGTTACTCTAAAGGTAGTACTTTCCAAGAGGACAGAAGCCTGGTTGAGATCATCAAGGACATGGAGATGCTGGAAATTAGGCTTACATGTACTGTGATAAATGGGACAAGAATTCAAAAGATGTTTGACAAAAGCAGGATGAAGGATACATAACCGAATGACCAAAAAATTCAGGATTGACAACAGTGGAAAAGAAATTACAAAAGACCTATGCTGAGTGAATTGTGGGACAGTACCAGAGGCTCAGAATGTGGGATCTGAAGTAGAAAGAGCCTGTGAGAAGGCAGTATAAACAAGAGAAGCTGGTAGGAGGTCAAGTTGAAAGTGGGGGAGTCCAGTTAATGTCATCTATGCTAATGCTTGTCTCAAGGGGTCATTATGAGATTTAATGCATTTGAGAAAATAGTTTTAGTTCAGGATCTACGGGGTAAGCAGTATCCTGAATAGAAACTGCAATCTTGTAGTGAATCTCGCTCAACATAGAAGAAACACACGAAGAAGATTGACTTGGGTGGGTTAGGACTCGAGAACTTCATAGACAGTGGACTCTGTAAGGACCCTGGGATTTCATAAAAAGAAAAAATCAAACAGGTTGTTGGAGGAAGACCTGAACATTCAGAGAGAAGCATAGAGGAGTGTGGTAGAAAGAACATCTACCTGTACTACCTAAGTAGTGGCAGGAAGGTGATGGATAATGTGGGGTTAGAAAAGATGACAAGATTAGTGTAAGGATGCTGTGGGAGGGAACTTAAATTATTATTATAATCAAAAAGAAGCTCTAAGCCACAAGGGCTATACAGCGCTGCAGGGAACTTGAAGTTGCATGAACCTTCACCAGTACCACCAAGGAAATCCAAGGGAGGGCTGCATGAGATGTGTTTAGGGAAGTATAGGATTGAGAACCAGAAGAGGGAAGTAGCAGGGAAACTCTTGATGTTAAAAAGGCAGATCACCTTGAACTGGTTAGATACAAGGTGTGTATAAAGGATGGCCAATACAGAAGTTGAAATTTAACAGGCACCATGAGCATGTGAACTGTCAGTAACTAGCTCATCTAGCAGAGATGGGTTATAGCTTGGCTATATGACATGCCCTGTTACTCCTTAAGTTGTAAATTTTGCATTTCTTATGGGATAAGGGGCACAGATAGGAGTCGGAGGGATGATTTCAAGAAAAATTTGGGTAATGATGTTGGGACAGCTTGCTAAGGGATCATTATGAATAGTGTCAGCAAAGATGACCTACAATGTTTTGATGTATATCAGAAGTGTCAGAAATTATGACATATCTGGAGTAACAGAGTTCTTTCAGTCATGTCATGACCTGTTAAGCAAATTACTGAGGGAAGATTGAGGGTGTTAAACATAAGATTATCACTGATGCTTAGGCGTTTTCATTGCAAGTACTGAGAACAAAGCATTGTACAGTATCTACTTTAGTAGAGGGTAGATTCTGGAGTTACAGTTAGTAGTGAATAGCTACATTGCATTCTGTAACCAGCTGCAGTTAGAATATCATACGAGGGAGGAAAACATTTCTGCAACACGAATTAGTGTGTGTAAAAAGTTTGGAAATTTTTGAAAATTGCCAGAATATGATACCGAGACATGACATGCACAAATGCTGTAAACAGACTGAGCATGGGTAATAAAATGGTGCCAAAAATAATAAACATAAATATAAATGAAAAGTGCCATATTAGTGAAGCATTCTAAAGGAAATCGTTTAAAGCAAGGTATGCTTGTACATCAGGGAATAGTAATAGGAGCAGCACTAACATTTTGTATCTTATTTTGTCAACTTATAAATTTATTTATTTTATTCAGGTGGAAGTACTAAACCCATATGGGTTATATAGTACCGGAAGAATGAGAGGCATTCAGGTTTAATCCAAAGAGGGAGAAAATAAAAACAGTTCCTTAGATACAAAGGGGAGTTATCTTGTAAAGCATAATTACTGTACTACATTATGCAGTACAGTGGTACTCTTGAGTTTCGGCCGTAATTTGTTCTAGAAGGCTGTTCAAGTGCCGTTACCAAACGAATTTGTTCCCATAATAAATAATGTAAATTAGATTAGTCTGTTTCAGACCCCAAAAATATACTTACAAAAGCACTTACAATAATACACTTACATAACTGTTCAAGTTGGGAGGTGGCTGAAACTTGGGGTACCACTGTATATGAACAAAAATTCCTTGGTTAACAAAACTTAGGGCCTATTGGTTAATTTGACGGTCATCTAGTATATCCGAGCCTCACTGACCTGGAGGGTTGGCAACTTCATTCGTAGATGAATGGTTCAGAGAACAGACATGTTGTTGAATTAGACACATGTGCAACTCTTGGGTATCTTTATTTAGGAAACGTTTCGCCACACAGTGGCTTCATCAGTCCATACAAAGGAGAAACTTGAAGAACAGGAGGAGAATGAGGTAATCAGTCCCTCAGCCTTGAGTTGATTCAAGATTGATCAATCTTGAATTCAAGATTGATGGACTGACCACATCGACTCAAGGCTGAGGGACTGATTACCTCATTCTCCTCCTGTTCTTCAAGTTTCTCCTTTGTATGGACTGATGAAGTCACTGTGTGGCGAAACGTTTCCTCAATAAAGATACCCAAGAGTTGCACATGTGTCTAATTCAACAACTTCATTCGTGTTTATGGTTCACAGATGCTGCATAAGCTATGTGGAGTTTAGTGGGAGGGCTTCCTGGAGTTTAAAAAGGTCATGAATGTTGTCCAAAGTAGGGATGCCAAAAGGATACCATAAAATATTTTTTCACAATAGTAGTAAACAGAGACAACATTACCCAACAAGAGGTATGTACAGCAGTTTGCTGGACAACCAGTAGTAACGATAAAAAAAAAAACTTGTATGACAAAATACATAAGAAGCCCTACCACAACCAAAGCTTTATTCCTGTAACTACAAGTAGTCAATCACAAATAGGTAATCTCACATACAACTGGAGTTGATCTCCACATAAACACAAGCACCATCACTATGTACACATACATGTATGCGTGCATTCATATGACAGACTGACTTGCCTATTAAATACTGGATGAGTACTTTTGATTTGTCTTCTTTCAACATTTTGATTTTCCATTTTCTCCTGTCTTACTAAGTTCTCACTACAAAAATATATTTTCCCTGTTTTGTAGCATACAGCCATTACCTGTGACTTGTATACATATACATATACATATGTGGTTGTAGGGGTCAAGTCACAGCTCCTGGCCCCCTCTTCACTGGTGTGGTAGGTGGGGGTGTGAATGAAGATGGGAATCACACATACTATATTGCCAAATAATTAACTAAATCATAAGCTATATTAAAAAACTTAAAACCAATAGTCATAAATACCAGTATTATTTGGTACATAAATCTCTAGCAGCTTTCAGCAACTATATTTTAATTTATAAATATGTACAGCCTCTCCTCACTTAGCGACATACTCGTGTACCGACACCTCAGACTTACGATGAGCTGTCTGACCAGTATGCATGCCTAAATAATGTACGTACTATATTAGAACTATTTCCTCTATTCTGTTTATTACAATATATAGTACACTATTGTATAAACATTTAAAAATATACCAGAAATGTTATAAATGGTGCAAAGGTGACTGACGTTAACCCTTTCAGGGTCAAGAGGCCCTCTTCTAAACTTGTTCTCAGGGTCGAAAATTTTTCAGAAAAAAAAATTATTTTTTCTCATGAAATGATAGAGAATCTTTTCCCCATCATAATGACATCAAAAGTATGAAATTTGATGGAAAACTTACGGAATTATGCTCTTGCGAAGTTAGCGGTCTCGATGTTTACGCATTGGCGATTTCGCCCACTTTGAGCCCTATTTTCGGCCAATTCCAGTGTACTAGTCGACAAAAATTGTAACTATTTCGCTAGAACTCCATTTTTTCTATTGAATGAGTACAAGAAACCACCCATTTACTGATTTCAACTATCCAATAAAGTGGTCAGAAACTGGCAATATCACACAAATTTCAAAAGATGCAAATTTCCAAATAGGGTCCAGAATAAACAAGACAGACATTCCTGGCACTAAATTAACATTTTCTCTGTTAATTAGTCACGTCCCCAGGCCCCTCTTACATCTCTTTTGCTTTCCACTTTGAATTTTCATTCTCACAAAAAATAGAAGATTTACTGTTATGCAGACTACTGCATTAGTGTAGAAATGGTATAAATAATATCAGTGCACTTGTGAAAGAATATTAGACTCACCAGTTGACGTGTATCGGACGCATGGTATGATTTGTTTTCTTTTGAACTTTGGCAAAAATCAAACATTTCTGCTACTTTGAGCTCAATTTCAAGGTACTTTTCATTGTGAAACCAATCAAAATCATCTCAATTTCTGTAATATGTCTTCCATTCTATAAAATGAGACCATAAATACCATACAAAAATACACTGCAAAGCCACTATTTTAAACCAAAAACACGGTCGGAGTTTTTTTTTTTTTCTCATTATGTATGTGTGCTGTAGGATTTTTTTTTTTGTACTGTGCACACTGGCCACATAGACCCATTCTTTCATGTGTAGGCCTACCAGCTTTCTCTCGTTAGATTTGAAGGCACTAGAATTTACGTGTACTAGTACGTTGGAAACCCTGAAAGGGTTAAAACAATTAAAAGATAGTTGACACAAACCCACTACCATTATAGTACACTCCTCACTTAGCGACGAATTCATTTACCAACATGAACGTAGGAACGAAACTCCACCATTAAGTGAGGAGAGGCTGTATATAACTTACAACATAAAACTTAGTTATCTCAAACACACCAGAAGATTGTTTTAAACTCAACTTATGTAGAAGTTCAGTCAAAATTTATTTGCCCAAAACATAGATTAGCTTCCCAGTTTAACTCAAGCATATGTCCAATTTTCAAATAATTACCCATGTACCTCCCTTCAAGGAAGGTGCCTCGAAACTGGTAAAGGGCTCAATCCAAAAATTTGGACCTACTCTCCTTCGAAATAATTCTGCTGTCCTCCTATTCCCAAATGCTTATGACCTCTGCAGATTTTGCACTTTCCCTGTAAAATAAACTGATAACCCAATGTACACCAAGTCCTTCCTTACATGTAACATATTCCCACTGCAAAATTCCATTAGCTTTACTGTGATAACTATCATATTATTTCTAACTAAATTATATTCCCAAATTACACCATGAGGGTATCAGAAAGCCTAAGCAGTTATAGATTGGAGGGAGTGGACATATCAGCAGATGGGTCTACATGAAAGATAAGGTGAACCACAGAGTAGATAAGGGGGTGAAAAAGGTGGGTGAAGTGTTGAAGTACAAGTTTAAAGAAGGAAGTTTATTTATGGAGGCAGTACAAGGGAATGTAGCAGAGTACATACATATAATGGTACCAATACTTTTATATGGGTGTGAGGCATGCATTTTGAATACTGTAATGAACAGGAAACTAGAGACAGCAGAAATGTCATATCTGAGAGAAATGTGTGATGTATCATACAGAGAATTCAGAACAAAGGTATAATTCAGAGAGCTGAGGAAAACTTGTTGAGGTGAGTTGGACATGTACAGAGGATGGACAAGGGTGGGTGGATGAAGAGGGCATATAAGTATAAATCTGAGGAGGAAGGTAGAAGGGAAGGGGTAATCCCAGCAATGGTTGGAGGGAGAAGGTACAAGAGGCTTTTGAGTTTCAAGGGCTTGAGCATCCAGCAGGCTCATGTGAGTATGTTAGATTGGAGCAAATCTGGCACACCATACACCACACCACCACCACACAATAGAAGCAAATAGTTTTTAACAAACACACTGTTGGAGTGTAAGTAAGGTAACTTTTATGAAGGGAATCAGGGAAACTGGTCAGCCAAATTTGAGTTCTGGAGGTGGGAAGGGCAGTGCCTGCACTCTGGAGGGGTAGGGATGTTGCAGTCAGAAAGGTAATCCAACTGTGCTCTCATTACACTTCTGGAAAGACAGCAATTGAATGAATGCTAGTGAATGTGTTTTCTTTTTGTTTCACCCTGCCTTGGTGGGATATGGCCATTATGTTAAAAAAAAAAAAAAAATTACACCATCTACCTCAATTAAAATTCACAACTAAACTGCCATAATCATTATTACAATATAGTAAATCTATAACAATTCCATAATAAAATAATAATATTCATGAATTTTAGTCTAACTTAAATCAATGCACAGTATTAAAATAAACAGCCACTTCCAGCCATTGCCAGTATTGTACCTGAAAAGCTATTCATACATGGAGCTTTTCATATATACCATTAATAAATTTAAACCTATCTATATAAACTTTATATAATAAATACTGTATACATCTATATACAGTGGACCCCCGCTTAACGATCACCTCCCAATGCGACCAATTATGTAAGTGTATTTATGTAAGTGCGTTTGTACGTGTATGTTTGGGGGTCTGAAATGGACTAATCTACTTCGCAATATTCCTTATGGGAACAAATTCGGTCAGTACTGGCACCTGAACATACTTCTGGAATGAAAAAATATCGTTAACCGGGGGTCCACTGTACATTAATATTTTTTTGTTATATTTATCATTATTTGAATGATTAGGTAATGTCATTCAAAATAGCTTCTTGGAAAAATTTAATGAAAATTAAGATATTCAGAGTTAATTGAAGTACAATACCTGGAGAGGGTTTTGGGGGTCAATGCCCCAGCAGCCCAGTCTGTGACCAGGCCTCATGGTGATCGTGGCCTGATCAACCAGGCTGTTACTGTTGGCCGCATAAAACCCAACGTACGAACTACAGCCCGGCTGGTCAGGTACTGACTTTAGGCGCCTGTCCAGTGCCTTCTTGAAGACAGCCAGGGGTCTATTGGTAATCCCCCATATGTATGCTGGGAGGCAGTTGAACAGTCTTGGGTCCCTCACACTTATTGTGTTGCCTCTTATTGTGCTAGTGGTGCACCTGCTTTTCATTGTGGGGGATGTTGCATCATCTGCTGAGTATTTTGCTTTCACACGGAGTGATTTTCATGTGCAAGTTTGGTGCTACTCTCTCTAGGATTTTCCAAGCGTATATAATCATGTATCTCTCCCACCTGCATTCTAGGGAGTACAGGTTGAGGAACTTAAAACATTCCCAGTAATTGAGGCATTTTATCACAGTTATGTGTGCCATGAAGGTTCTTTGTATATTTTCTAGGTCAGCAATTTCACCTGCCTTGAAAGGTGCTGTTAGTGTGGTTGAAATTTATTTTATACTCTGATGTAGTTTTAATTTCCTCACGGTTTCCATATCGGAGTGATTGAAATTTCTCATCATTGAACTTCATATTGTTTTCTGCAGCCCATTTAAAGATTTGGTCGATGTCCGCTTGGAGTCTTGCAG